TATTTGAGGGGCAGTACATTAGAATGCATCATCTAATGAAATTTTCAGGCTCAGCTTTTAGGTAAATAGTGTGAATACATCGTTCGCTGATACATCGTTCAAAAGTCAATAAGGTATGATTGTACACCGTCAAACTAAAAGGAAAACTGAGTCATTCTCAAACTGCCAAAGGTAAAATAACACTTGGCAAACTACAATGTCCATTTCATTTAGACAGAGATAAGCTCTACTGGAACACATAAATGTGAACCCTTCTTTTCAATGTATATCTTATTGACCGACATCAGACGCTTAAAAATTCGTTACCAAAGTATGCGAAGACAGTGAAGTGTAAAATTCATGGATTTCTTCATATAGAAAATCAAAGCAAGTGATTCAGCGAAGAGACCCGCTCCAACAACCAATCATTATCAGGGTGTACAATCGTGATCAACACAAGTAAAACCTATAAAAGACAGCCAAGGGAACTCAATCACCAAGGAAGAAAGACAGATTAAACAATGGGCAGACCACTTCAAAGGACTCTTGAACCGACCACCACCTACAACCCGTCCAGAAATACTAACAACAGCACGTACACAACTGCAAGTTGACACCAATCCTCCAACGAAAGCTGAAGGCTTGAATGCAATCAAGCTTCTGAAAGCTGGAAAAGCAGCTAAACCAGATGAAATACCCCTTGAAGCACGGAAAGCAGACTCAGAGACGATAGCAAGTATTCTGACTCCATTATTGCAAAAGGTCTGGAAGGAGTGAAAGGTATCTACTGACTGGAGGAAAGGTTTCATCGTGAAACTACTAAAGAAGGGCGACCTAGGACTCTGCAAGAACTGGCGAGGAATCATGCTCCTGTCGACGCCAAGTAAAATCCTGAGTCGCATCATCCTGGAGAGAATCAAGGACGCACTGGATACAGAACTCCGACCAGAACAAGCTGGATTCAGGAAAGGCAAATCATGTGCTGACCAAATTACAACTCTACGCATCATCATTGAACAAAGCATGGAATGGCAATCAAATCTCTACCTCAACTTCATAGACTTTGAGAAGGCCTTCGACAGCGTTGACCGCGAAGTAATTGGGAAACTACTCGAGTACTACGGCATACCTCAAATATTCATCAACCTTATTCAACAGCTGTACGACAACGACACATGTCAAGTGATCCACAACGGAAAACTCAGCGAGGCGTTTGGAGTAAACACAGGAGTCAGACAAGGGTACTTATTATCACCAATGATATTCCTAATTATGGTGGACTGTATTATGCATCAGACAGTGGGAAACGAGAAGACAGGGATATCCTGGATCGACATGAAGAACCTAGAAGACTTGGATTTCGCGGATCATTTATGTTTGATGTCACACAAAATCGAAGACTTACAAGCGAAAACCGACAAACTGGTCGAAGAAGCAGCAGAGGCAGGACTCCAGGTGAACATAGACAAGACGGAGGTTACGAAAATAAGCAACCAACAACAACAACAGCAACATCCATCGCCAATCATCATCAACGGGAGGGATTTGAAAGAGGTTACTTCATTCACTCACTCATCTAGGGAGCATTGTCTCAAATACAGGAGAAACGGATGAGGATGTCAAATCGAGAATCGGGAAGGCGAGAAACACATTCATCAACCTGAAACCAATCTGGAAATCTCCATCACTCAGCAACAACAACAAAATTCAAATTTTCACTACAAACGTCAAGTCAGTCAGTTCTTCTATACGGATCAGAAACTTCGCAGGTCACAAAGAATATTTCCAACAGCCTGTTGCAGACCTTTATCAACAACTGTCTTCACTCTATACTGAAGATGAGATGGCCGGAAAGAATCACCAACAAGAAACTATGGGAACATACAAAACAAGAACCAATCGCTCAACAAATATGCAGGAGAAAGTGGAGATGTATTGGACACTCGCTGAGGAGGCCGTTGGGTGACATCGCGCGTCAGGCCTTCGAGTGGAACTTTAAGTTGCAAAACAAAACTCATTTAGGATGGTAAGTGGAACAAGTGAAACAATATCAAGAACAATTCAAATTGAAAATAGCAATACTAACAATTGGCGTAATAAAGGAAGAATATACAAACTGAGCAAACAAAACGAAAAATCGGTAGTAACAAAATATGATTGTTTATAATCATACTTTAACACAGAGGGTTTAAGACCATGAAAGTTGGAGGGGTTTAACGGACCTTTCCTGTGTGCACAGATCCTGAATTTCTGTTTCGACGGCCAAAGCTTCAGAAATGCTGCAGCTGAGTTGGATACGTAGTGATCTGGACAAATTACTTTTCGTCTTGTAGATGACTTTAAAGGCGAAGGCTGTAGAGATAGGGTGATCATTATTGACCAAATGTTCAATGATTGCGCCTCTCCTTGGTCCACTTCCACCTCTTCGTAACCATGAAGGATAGTGTTCACACAGTGTCACGTAAAGTTTTAATTTTTATTCCATTCACCCACTAATCCTCTAATTTCACACCACTTCCAAGTTCTATACATCCTATATATATATATATATATATATATATATATATATATATATATATATATAGGGTATATATATAGGATTGTACAGCTTGATAATAAATCGGTTATTGAAGACGGTCTCTTCGCTGAATCACTTGTTTTGATTTTCTATTTGTTCCAGTGAAATTTTCCATGGATTTCGTAATAGTCGTATTGTAATAACAAATAACCCCAAATAACTGGTAACAATATACCACAGACCCTATATAAGGCCAAACAGAAATCCGCGTCAGATGCTTAAAGTTAGTAGTCGTTTTATAATTGTTTTTTTCTATTTATTTGGACCAGCGCTGTATTTCGTCCTTCAATTTTTGCCAAATAAAGTTATAACTGTAACTTAGAACCCATGTAGCAACTCGGTCAAAAGCTGCAAGATTTGGTAAGTGAAGAGGTAAAACTCTTAATGTGCCGCATTTATAATCCCTTTAAGTTTAAAAGAGTGCGAAGAAAGCAGCAAACACATGACTCCAGCTGAATACAAAGAAGATAGAGGCGATGAAGATAACTAACCACCACCACCAACAACAACGATAAGCAACGATCACTATCTGTGGGGAACATTGGGAGGAAGTAACTTCTTTCCATTACCTAGGAAGAATCGTTTCAACTACTGGTAGAACCCATGAAGATGTCAAAGCTAACGAAGATCGGAAAGACAAGATAGAAAATCACTACTCTGAAATCGGTGTGGAAATCTGCTGCGCCAAGTAGCCATACAGAACAAAGTTTGGATTTTCAACACTTCTACTTGGTTCAGAGACTTGGTGTGTCACGTGAGAAGCATTTCAAACAGGCTTCAAACTTCCATCAATAGCTGACCTCGTGCTCTAGGCCATCCCTCAAGTGGGATCCGAATTGGAAACAATGAGCTGAGTGTGTGGTCGAATAGATGAGACGACAGCTTGTGAGTAGCTTTCTAGCCAGCTAAACTGGGTGGCAGAAAACAGAATGAAAAGGAGACATGCTGCTAAAGTCCTGTGTTCCACTCGGCGCTTAGGGGAATAATAATAAACTGTATGTTTTTATCGAATAAATTTACTCTGTGGTGGAATTAGCCGACTGTAAGCCCAGAATAATAAGCAGGGTTGAGCGTAACGCTAGCAACCATAACCTGTATAGACGACACTGCTACTGAAACTTCATAGGTGAAGACGGTAAATGGAAAAGAAAATTATAATTGTGTCCTGGAATAAATTCAATCCAGATCTTAAGGCAAAAGACTGTTATTTCCATAAATGTTTAGTGATTACTATATACTTTAAAAAGACAACAGCAATGCAGAAAGGTCCATGGTGTCCTAAAGAGCTGTGACTGGTGATTTCTTCATTTGGTAGGCATGCAAGCTCAATTCGTGTAATATTCAATACAACTTGATGACTGCATGACTGAATTTCCACATAGAACTTTGCAGGGAAGTGAATCAATTCAAGTTACCACACTCCATGAAGCATACGAAGGTAGACAAAAGAGAGAGAGATAAAGGGATTAAAAAGAACTATAATAATCAGAACTATGAAAGACAAAGAATAACAATGTGGAAGAAAGATGACGGTTTATTTGATTGAGGAGATCAAGAATAGTCGTGGTATGTGCTACTGATAAGATTTATCAGTAGTATATATTTAAAGATATTCATCGACATAAAAACAAATAGCAGGGAAATAGATTTGAACTCAGAGAAAGCAAGTGAAACAACTTTTCGGAAATACTTGAGGAAGGTGACAGGAACACAAAGAAATACAATATGAAGGCCAAAATTAGCACAACATGGAAGTTCTGTGTAAATGGTGTGTTGAAAATAGTCTATCGTCTCCTACCGTTACAGAGTGAATGCACTTGCTTCACTTCGAACGTTCAGTAGTCAGCAGCCATTGGTTCTTATCATCCTGATAACCCCAGCCAGTCAGCCTATTCTTCCATACGTGGTGCAAACCAACTGTCACAAACCCATGGACTGATTTCAGAAGTCAGTCTCACTACTCCTAGGACTTTTGTAACCTAACCCAGGTCGAATGACACTGTGCATCACTTGCACTAAGTGTCCCAGCCACCTCAGTCAATGTAGCTTCAGAACATTACCAATCGGCTTGTCCTCCTTACCTAACACTATGAGCCTAACAGCAATATCACTCATCATATTGTAAACCATTTAACGCTTGAGATGAAACGCAAACATTTTTGGCCAAAGACAAAGCCAGTCTTTTCATACCTTCCACAATCAGTGGTCATACCTCACAGGCATAGACGAGAACAGGGTGAAATACTTCTCAGAACACCCATCGTTTATTAGATGACCGGATATCACGTCTACAATACTCAATTTTATACAATTTAAAGTAATATCTTTGAAGTGATAACATCTGAACCCTACCTATAGAAACTAAACTAAAAACCAGATATTGACGTTTATTTATGTTCAGTTACACTACAATAAAAATTGCAACAATTATTACACTACATACCTTTTGAATTTTATACAAAACTGGTAAAACTCCAGATAAATTCAACGATTTCACTTCATCTGTAGTATTTCGTTTTGTTATATGTGAATATCTTGCTCTCCACGCCAGCTGGCCAAGATGATGAATATAATTCTGTAGCTCGTGTACACGATTCCAAAGAAATGATGATGCAGAGGAAGTAGAGATGGAAGAGGGAAACAGTGGTGGCGGCTGAAATGAAGATGATGACGATGAAGTGGTCTGGTACGGCGCAGAATCAATTGGTATAAATTTTTTCAATTCTTCATAGCCTGGTAATTCCAATTGTTCACAGTTTTCCAACTGAATTTTATAAAGGAAAAGAAAAAAAACAGCCAGTTGAGCAGTCTTTGAGTCATGCACACTGAGTAACAGTTTTGAGCTGAAAGAATTTCGAAGTTCACGAATTTTGAAATCTAGTCAAACTACCTGTACATGCTGCGTCGGTGATTCGTTGGAAGAATGATCGCCAACCACACATGTCGTCCGACGTCCAATGCCAGGCAGACGCACTTTTTTACGTCGCTAGGCTTTGGCATGAGGCTAGCAATCCCACCTCATAAAAAAGAATAAACTCATTGATGCTGAAATCCCAGGGATATAGATTGAAGTCTTATGTTACACAGGGAAGTTATGGGAATAAAAAAATACCCATTTCATAATATATAACATAAAATAATAACATGCATTCATTGTTTCGAACACCAGCTGAAATCAACTAAAGAATCATTGAAGAACTAAAGAGTACTCAACATCTATTCCTTCTGCCTTGGGACTCTTCAGAGGGTCTCAGTAACAAAGGGTTCGAGCCTAGGATGTTGCAGTTACAAGGCGGGACTGATGATCATTCGGCCACTGAGTCCTAATCTGACTGATAGCCTAGGAACTCCACTTTCTACCATTTTGCAATGTATAGAGCGACCGCCGGCCAATATCACAGGTGAGCAACTGATCTCTTACCTAACTCAACAGACCCGGATGAAGAGTGAGGAACTGGAACGCAAAAGCTTCCCAATAGTTCTCTAACTGATATCAGCTAGTGATCAGACCTGCGATCAATCAAATCCCTGCAAACCAACACTTGATAAGATACATTTTTATTAAGACAATTATTTATAAACCCTATTTTACGAAATTAGTTGCATGCACCGCACGCTTCACAGATTTTCGTGTGTAATTTTAAGTAGTCATTACCGCATGCAGGTATAATTCTCATAAGTACTGTCAAGTGAAAAATTTACTAATCACTATGGTTACAGATACTCTGTTTCCCATTGATATATATATATGCTTGCATGCGTACTACTGATAAGATAATTTTTAATTAGTTCAGAAATAGTTCATTGAAACCTTAATTATTATTCCCAGCATTCTAAGGTAATTTGAAGGTATTTGATAAATTTGTGCTAATGATTTTATCAAACTATTGTTTACTTCCTACGTATTATTTGTAAACTGGTTCACAATTATTTCAGATGCAGTAAACGAAGATATGTAACTCAGATAGATGACTCTGATGGCGGTTCCTTCTTCTAAGCAAGAGGCCGCTTGATTTTGAAGCTTTCGTTGTCCTTCAAGACAATATCTTCAGCACAAACTTTAGTGTACAGTGAACTTCATGCAGAATTCATTTAAGTTCACTTTAAAAGTAAAGCTTGCATTGCAGATTCTGTCAAGAAGTACAACAAAAGCTTCGCAATTAGGTTAACCAGCTTGGAAAACGCAACCGCATCAAAATAAAGTGGTTTAAAGATATCAACCATTCACTAGAACGTGCGTTATCCAATTCTGTTGACAGTTTGATAAAATTTATCAAGAAGCTCTGATAACTTATAGTAAAACATATGCTTCATATAAGTGGAACATTGACTATCATCACCAGCTCAGTAGTTTTTGAGCTGTACCATTTTTGGCTATTGTCAGCGGTATATAGATATGTTTTCGGCCATCAAATATGTGATGTAACATTCTACATTTTGGTTTAGTACAAAAGATATCCAATCTATCAAATAAAAAGAGGTTTTATTACATTCTTTTTGAGAATCATAAAAATTCTGTACATTTTGGAATCGCTTTTCGGGGAATAAAATTTTCTATTATCATATTTTCTTGGTCATAATCATAAATAAGTTTGTTAAAGTTGTCTTCTTCGGTGGGGGGGATATATTTTTGACTTTTTGTCTAACTTAGAAATTACAGTTAAGTCTCACCTGAATAATTCCAAACTTTTAATATATAACTTTATAATACGTTTTTAACGGTAGAAGACACGTGCGGCGTTACCTAATTATAGTTGCTGAGAAACGTGGTCTTGGACACTGTCGATGAAATGGGACGTCAGTAACTGCGACTCCGACTTTTTATCCATTGTGGGGAGTGCGTGACATAGTAGATTCGTCAACTGCAGAGCCAAAACCAGCCTGTCTCCATCCGGTGCCAGCTTCGCGGCACGGAGCTACAGCATCACCAGCTGCTTGTGTATTCGACTGTTAAACTCTACCACCAGTGGCTCAGACGGCTCCTTCCAGGACAGCTTCTCACATGACCGCTCTACACTGTTGTACGCTACCTCTCAGTATCGTGCTGTGCTACTTCTATTCTCTTTAATGTGTTTCTCTGCCTTATTTTCGTGTCTCCAATGTTGTTCCACAGCGCTCGTTCATTTCCTGTTTTTGAAGACAAATCTATCATTCTGCTATTTGATGTTTTATGTTGATTAACGTCTCTTTATATACTACTGGTAAATTTTATCAGTAGCACACGCAACTCATCCACTTCATACAATCCAGTTTTGAAAATAGAAAAGCATTTCATCTAATGCTGTTGTTATTGTTAGATTCAGAAAGGAACTTGAGTTAGCTGCACTTACTGTATTTAGGAGCCAACCCTTTTGGATTGCAGTTTTTTAAAGCAGTATTCTCATTTTCAAACAAAAAGGCGACCATACTGATCTTGAATAAATTCCAAGACCCATGCTATTTAGAGATCTAAAGGCGTAGAGGAGACAGATGAGCAATGCTTCATTGTCCGTAGTAGAAAAAAGCACTTTAGGAAGCTAAAATGCTGTTAATTATGTGACTATTGATTTAAACGTACTCAGATTACTTGCCAAGTTGTTCATCAGCCCATGAGTAAAATAAGTCAATATCTTCCGCTTACAGATAAATTCAGATCACTTTATAAACTGTTCATTTGTGGATGTCAGGTGACTGGAGAAAGTCAGCTAGAAGTTTCGCGCCCTACGACTCGTCCTTGATGGCATTCGTCAGCAAGGCGATCGTCTACAACCCTGAAGGAATTAATATCCCTTCTGAGATTAGAACCCGGGTCACTGAGTCCTGAAGTCAAGACGTTATTATTGAGCTACTCACGATCACAATCGACCACCTAACTAGTCCTTGTTTCGGTGCAGCCTGAATAGAACAGGCTGATAGAGTTCATTCTGCACCCAGAGAAGGACCAGACTCATTATACTGGTCACTGCTAATGTAAGTACCGCTTCCAGGTCTATAGGGGGTCGAATGCTGACGTATGCCAGCAAGGACAAGTCGTAAGTGCAAGACTTCCAGCCGATCATCTCCAACCATCCAGCACCAACTTTGTATGACTGGCGATGGAGAGTAGCCTAGCATGTTGAGCATATCGGAAACCTGACTGACAGAATTCCGTCTGCACCGAACGAAATAATAGATGCATGACGCTAGTGACTACCTACTGACCAATCAAATTGTAGATTTGTGCATTGATCTGCCGAAAAATATGCCAAGTTCATTATCACCAACAAAGGAACATTCATAAAAGTCAAGTAAACACGTATTCAACTAAGGTCACCTAACTAAATATGATATTCATATAAATGAATAAATAAGTTTAAGACTTACCATAGGAATAAGTGAATCCATTAATCCAGGCGTATGAGAGCGAGCAATCCATGCAGTAAAGAATAGCGGTACACGTAAATGAAGCTGTACATTGATTAGGACATTATCTGTAATGAAAAAAAAGAGGTAATTATAGAAATTAGTGATTAGTGGAAAATTAAATATTAGTTAAAAAGAGAGAGTTACTCGCTGTCGTTAAATTTCTTATGGTCAGTTTGACCCTTAGATGACGGTAGTGTCGGTTGATCAGCCTCTTAATAAGATGAAGTTCGGAAATTTAAAATGCATCCATAAGAACTAATTTTAACCCATAGTAAGTATTACGTAAGCCAGATAACTAAAAAGCAGAGTAATCGAGCACTTATCAAGATTATATATATGCATACTTTCTTGTAAATAACAACTTGCGTACATATCCAAATGAAGTGTGATCAAGATTGGACCGAAAAATTCCAAAACAATTGGGCGCCGAGTGAGAAGTAGACCAATCTGCCGATCGAAACGTTGAAATTACTCATTTCTGGAGGTCTGTCTAACAAAGAAGACTGATGAGACCCTGAAGATATCAATATATCGGAAGCGTACGTGGAACAGCCAACTGAAAAACTTTTACAGTTGGATGCCCATTAATCGCAAGCGGAACCTGATAATACCTCTTGTCACAAGAATCGGCAGAATTTGGAGCCCTAAATCAGTAAGAGAGGAGATCACCCTTCTGAGGAAGAAATCACTTGGTAATGGCTATCTACCACGCTTCATAGATGAAGACATAAAGCCGAAAATCAACAAAGAGCAACCAATCTGTGTGCCGAAGAAGATGCTATACATGAATGTGGCGTTCAAGCGCGACCTTGTGGCCAACATTTTACAGAGGAAAATATATTAAATATAAACCACAAAGACTGGATGCATCTCAGCTAGCCATTGACAACGATTTTGAGCCATATCACTTATTTTCTCCAGTCTACATTGATATTTACCATCCCAAAGACCTCAACCAGGAAGCTTAGGCTTGCCGACATACCTTAAAATGAGTGGTATGGATTTCATTTGCTGATGCCTTGTTTTAGTTTGACCACCACTAGCTCTTTTCCAGTCCTGATCTTATGTCAGCTAAGATTGCCTATCGAGGAAGGTGACCGATGGCTAGGCATGCGTAAGATATGCCCTAACCATTTCTATCAGTTGAGGAAGATGCTTCACAACCTTATTGATTGATTTCCTCTCCTTACCTAGCACTCGACCGAGGCCAAACCTCAGTATTGCTCACCCTATTATACCACCACCCAACATGAGAAATGGAACACAGACACCTTTGATCAAATACAGCTAGCCAACATTTTCATATCTTCCATTTTCAATGTCCTTGTCTATTAGCCATAAGGGAGGACAGAACAAACTGCTGAGCAGTACACACGTCCTTTGGTCGATATTGAGATATCATGTCTACACCAGAGATGGCGTAAGTCGGCAAATGCCAAATGAGCCTTCTGCATCCATGCTGAGATTGTGGTCAACGATCGACCCGCTGGCGTCGGCTTATACAACTAACCAAACAAGTGAGATGGTCAGCACGCTCCACCGACCACCTCACTCCCTATCTTTAAGCTATGAGTCAATGTAGTCTAGAAAGCGCTACTGGTTGATATGAATAGTATATGACTACTCATCCCAATCAATCAGTAGTATACAGTTTAATGCAAACATACTTAATTTTTTGATTGCCGTTCATAACATGAAGTGGATCACATATTTTGATCTGAATAACTTGAGTTCCGAAGGAGACTACCGTGAAATTTCACCACTTGAACTGTGTACATTACAAAATGCTAACCAATTTTAAAATTATTAATCTGAAATTATATTAATTTGCTTCAATAGTTGAATATCACTCACATGATATGGTAGAGAAGATTTGTAGCTCAGATGGATGATTTTGATATGGTTGTGTTCTCTGAGCTGGATAGTTAATTTGCGAAGCTTTCATCGACCTACTAGGCGATATCTTCAGCGCATACTTCAATTTGAAGTGAGCTTTCAGATTTCTCAACGAGTTCATTAATCATCTGTCCTGGTGACCTTGGACTTGGTTGGTTGTTTTTGCGTGTTTTCACACCTTCTAGGTTATTTGTATTGTAATTCATTGTTTCTTTGACTTGCACTTTGATCCTTTGTGTGTGAGGTTTCTTTCTTATCGGTTGATATATTTTGTCTATCTCGATGTGTCTATTGATTGATGATTCGCTGGAATGTCGAGCTTCTAAAAATTCTCTTGCATTCTTGTTGTTTCATCTGTCCAATATTTCAGCGTTGTCCCAGTCGAATTGATGTCCGTGGTTGTCTGTATGCAGTGAGGCGATATGAGGGAGTGGATATCATGTCTTTTGACAGCTGGCTTATGTTCGTGGATACGAAGACGAAGGGGACGTACACTTTGGCCAATGTAGTGTTTTTCGCAGTTGATACAATCTATTTTGTAGATGATGTTGGTTTTATCTTCCTTCGCTGTTGAGTCTTTTGGTTGACATAAAACTGAGTGAAGTATTTTGTTGGTTTGTGTGCGATGTCAATTCCTACAGTTTTGAAGAGTCTTGTAGTTATTTCTGAGATGTCCTTCCAGCGAATCATCAATCAATAGACACATCGAGATAGACAAAATATATCAACCGATAAGAAAGAAACCTCACACACAAAGGATCAAAGTGCAAGTCAAAGAAACAATGAATTACAATACAAATAACCTAGAAGGTGTGAAAACACGCAAAAACAACCAACCAAGTCCAAGGTCACCAGGACAGATGATTAATGAACTCGTTGAGAAATCTGAAAGCTCACTTCAAATTGAAGTATGCGCTGAAGATATCGCCTAGTAGGTCGATGAAAGCTTCGCAAATTAACTATCCAGCTCAGAGAACACAACCATATCAAAATCACTCACATGAGCCAGTAGTACACGCTAGACACATCGAAATGATCTAGCTAGGTAGACGGCTATTTCCTTTTTTTGTGACCAAACTTGTTAGTTGTGGATCATGTATAACATATCGATTATATGTCAAAATACACTCAGAGCTATATATCATGTGGGCATTCAATGATGACCAATGAACATCCCTAAGAATCAGTTTCCTCCAACAAATTTTAACTTGAGTTTGTATTTTTATTCCTTGCCTTTTAATCCTTATGAAGGCTTTGTCAGTCTTGAAAACTGGTTCAATTTGAAAGTACGATTGCCTAAAGATCTAAACAGTTTATAGTCTAAAAATTGAGATCAGCTTTGTTACTTTTGATCAGCATTTTTTTCAGTTTCACCAACTAATCAACTGCTTAAGATACATATATATTGTTATTTTGATTTTGTATAACACTCAGATATTCATGGTTTTATGCATTTGTGTTTATCGAAGTGAAAATGAAAAGTTGCAGGGATTAAATCAGATTATAAATTAACATATGAATAACACATGCTAACTGGCAATATAGATTTAGTCAAATGCCAACTGTAATTCCATAGGATAGAAACTTCCCTGGATAAATGCATAGTTGATACACATTCTATTCGTTATCATATGAGTTTCAGGTTTGGGAGATTTTAACTTGTAGCAAAATTAATTTTATTTTGTGAAGAAGGCAATTTCATTTCTCAACCATTTCTAATATGCAGTATCATTTATGCGGTTATATCTGCTGAAAAGTTAATCTTATTCTGCCATTTACTTCTTAGTGGAGTACAGGACGTCAAGCCTGAGCTTTGAATCTCCAATAGAGCAGCTATTCTACAGGGGGAGGTTACTAGATCCACTCTTAACCTTCCGCGTTCGCCGAGCTTACTAAAGCTTGAGTGATGTTTAGGAGGGCATCGGCCTGGAATCCAGTCCAACTAAAGGCAAGATGAGAAAACATTGTGCCACTGAACCATCACTAACTCAACATATAACCAAAAAATTAAAAAAACGAGGGACATACGTCCTAAGGACATTACCTGAATCACCAAACTTTTATGTTATGGAGGGTCTTAGGGTTCTAAACTCGTTAAAGATATTATACCTACCTTAGTATTCATTTTCCAACTGATTACAGCTTCGTAAACTAAACGTCATAAGGTTTCACGTGTGCACTTCTAGAATGAAACTGTAGTCTACTACTTCATGGTTTTCGAAGGGTTCTCCTGATCAATATCAGTAAGTGGCCAAATGCGAGATAAATCAAATCCCCACAATGCAACAATTGAACATCAATCTGATGCTTACTAATGACCACTGCTTACAAGATGAAGTTTCCTAGAGTTCTGTTAAGGAATTATGGTCAGTGGAGTTCACCAGGTCAGTAGACTGGGAGAATAAATACTCGCTGGTGGTGGACCTAAATTCGCGAGCTGATATAAGCTGCCACAGCTGAATGGTCAACGAGCTTCTCATCATAACCTGAAGGTTCTGAGTTCGACCCCTGACAGTGAAGTAGTAGGTGTGGACTGATGTAGAGTCTCAAACTAGGACGAAGAAGCTTTCCATTGTTCTCTGGCTTTCAATGATTCTCTAACTGATATCAGTCCGTGATCAAATTTCCGACAAAACTAAGTTAAGCCAATCTATTCAATGTATAATTCCATTAAAGCCTGACAAAAAACTGTAAAGAAAAACATCACTTAGCTCTTTGTTATGATATCACTGAGTTGTGGAAAATTATTTTTAGTCTAGAAAGTTTTCTGTCTCATTCATGAAATCAAATACGTTTTGCTATCAGTCTTCTGTTACTGGTGCCCAATTTTAGACATTCCTGCAGTGTTTCCTCATTCAAAAGCAATTTCATTGTTTCTTCAGATTCAACTGAAAACAATGATACTGTCGTTAAAAGGGTTTTTATGTAGTGGAAACGCTCAAAAGAATCAAAATTAGGCTGTTAGCATTTAGAATTAATATAATGTGTGTGTGAGTATATGTGTATGCTTCACATCTAACGTGATTCATTTTTACATCAATTAGTGTCTAAATTAATCATGCTTTTCATACGTATTCGTTTTGAAAACCATTACGACAATTAGAATGTTCTATTCTGCGTTTCACTTCATTGCATCAGAAGAAATGATGAATGAGACAGGATTTAACTG